GGCCTGTAACTGCAACAGTAGCCTCATTAATAGACAATATTATAACTCATAATGAGTGGTTATGATGTCATAATATTATATCTTATAATGAGTGGTCATGATATTGTCTATTAGTGAGGCACTTGTTGCATTTACCCTCGTTGGGTTATTTATAAAAAGATTGCTTCATTTTCAAACAAGTTATTATAAAGTTATTAAAGTTATAAAGTTATTATATTCATGTTTGTGTGATATTCAAAACAATTTCAACTTATTGCCAATTAAATAATTAAAAGAAATTAAATTATTTAATTGGTGATAAGTTCATATCACCAATTAAATAATTTAATTTCTTTTCCTTAATTAAGTTACTCAATTATGCCTGAAGGTGGGAGATGGCAATAACTCAAAAATATATTTTATTAATTTTGGCTATAATTTCGATTGTTGAAACCTCTTTATCGCTATTAGAAATACTCATGTCAGGCCTGATAATAAACTGCAAGTTTGTGGTTAATGTTTGCATATTAGTATTTAATTGTTAAATAAACCATAATAAATTGAAATGTTCTTTTAAATTTGTTAAATTTTATTAGTTTCACACAAGTGTTTAAACAGGAAAAAGGTTTCAAGTAAAAATGAACTTTACAATTACTGAAGATGCACAAAAGAACAGTGAATGGTATTGGGCCACTAGCCTACACAAAAGAAAACTATTATGATCTTTGGCGTCCTTTTGCATATGCCACTAAGAACTATGTGTCTCATAAGCTTGTTCCTGCCCCCCCCCCCCTTTTTTTTTTTCTTTTTTTTAATATTCTGCCTGATCAAAGTGAAAGGTGAAAGTTTTGGAAACAAAAGGTATGTTAAAAGTAAAATATAAATAAATATATATTCAAGCCTTCCCAGGAAAGGCGTGCGGTTTTTCGTCTTGTGTGACCACACGCGAGTATCTTATTTAAGACAACTTGAACACGGCTGTTTGCAAGTTTTATAATAATCAATGCTGAAAAAGTTTCAAAAACAAAAAAAATTAAACTAACAAAATAAAAAGAGATTAAAATCAAAAAAAATAAAAACACATTAATAGTTTAAATTATTTGTGTACTGTTTTTATTTTTGTTTCTTAAATAGCTTACAAAAAACGTGACAAACAACTTTATAAAAACGAAACGTATTAAAAGTTTAGCATTATGAAAGCTGTTACTAATAGACCGTAATAACGCGCGTTAATTTTAAAATTACCCCAAAAAAATTTTTTATTGGTTGGTTTTAAAATTAACGCGCGTTTTTACATAACGTTTTTCATAATGCTATACTTTTTGTAAAATACTTTTTTATAACGTTGTTTAAGTGATATGTGAAAGTTCCTGAAATTTTTAATATTTGAATATCTGCTTTATTTTTTCTAGACGCTTTTCTACTTTAATAAATGTTTGGAATTAATGTTGTTTAAACAAAAAATCACAGCAAAAATGTTGAATCAAACTTTTACACTTTTAAACCTATTTAGTTTTTTAAATTATTGCACAAATCATAGTTCGTATATAAATATTGATCAGGATAAAATTTTCTATCCAACCATATAAAATATATTTACTTTTTTTGCCTCTAAAATTGCCTCGAAAGGGATTCCTGTAGCATGATCAATGGGGCTTTTTTTTACGCTCACCCAAAGACTGTCTAATTTCTCTCTACCAATTTCAGCTTTATAATATTTTTACTATTTGTGACACAATTTTGATTTTACTATTTGCGACACTATTCCGATTTTAGTCTTTGCAACACTATTCCGTTTAATATTTGTGACACTATTCTTATTACCATTTACTAGGATTAACTCTTACTTCCAATCTCTTCCTTCAAGTCTCATCCTTTACTGTTACATCTCATACTGTAACTGTTCCTAAGTGCCCGAAAAATTCTTATTTGTCTTTGTTTTTTTCCTGTCACCCGTCATTAATCAAAAACTGTAAAATACTGAAAATATTTAATCTACTCTTTTCATATACAATTATACAGTTTTCGGTAACATGTAGGCCAATTTAATAGACATTGAAAAATGCCCCTTTCCCTTTAGGGATAGGAATAAAAATTATGTTTAACCTTAAACAAAGCTTGCTTTAGCAATGAACATCGATATGGTTAGCAAATAACAGGATAAAGTTCTACAGTTTTAAAGAACTTTGAAAACAATTTGAAGGCCAAATTATTGAGACACTAATAAACTTCAATATGCTTACGTGTGTTATTGTAATAAAAAAATTTAGTTTTTGAACTATTTTTACTTCTATAACGCAATTTTCAAAGCCTTATAACTAAAAATTAAGAACTCAACAAACAATATCTTTAACCCCAAGTCACATTTATGAGTAGTTTATAAGCATGGAAGCTAGCCACGCTAGGCAATTTGCAGAACTTGCAAATTTGGGGGTGTTTTTCAAATTTAGGGGTCTTTTTCCATATGTAAGGATTTTTAGTAATACACTTTGTAATGGAAGATTTTTAAGATTTTAACACCCTAATGACAAATTGGAGGGAGGGGGCTCTGATCCTCTAGCCACAGCATTTTTCGTAAGGTATTTTTAACCCTATGTAAATTTGTTACTTTGTTTTTTTTAATAAATATTTTAGTTTATAAAGTTATTAAAAACAAGACTTTTCAATTTATCACAACTTGATTACTTGATTTTTGAAAAATTTTATCATTTTGAAAAAATAAGTTAATGCAGAAGGTTTTTGAATCTGTTACAACTAAAATTATTTTTAAAATATTTTTTATAACTTTCTCTACCAGTAGTAATAGGGCAAATTGATTTTAAGATAAAAATGTAAAAAATATATATTAATATATATTATATAAATGTATATGTATATATGTATAAATGTATATATTCAATTAGACGTTTTACTACAACCTACAACGTTACTGAATACCTTTACACTATGTGCTTTTCTATATCTTTACACTATAAACTTTTTGATAATTTTGGGAAGTATAAGGTTTTCAAAGTTGGTAGATTTTATCTTTGCTCAATTGGGCTGTGTCCTGATAAAGTTTCCTGGATGCGATTTTTTTTTAAGTGTTTTCACGAAATAAATGTGAAATAGTAAATACGTCATTTTTTCAGTGGTTGTATTAACATATTTTCCCATTTAACTTAAAATAAGTTTTTAAAATGACAAAAGAAAAAGTTGTTAGAAAAAGTATTTTGTACAAATATTTGGAAAATCCGAAGAGAAGCTGTTTTTCTTATTTAAATTAAATAGCATAAAAGTTGTAAATAAATCTGTTAGTCATGTTATTTAACATTTTTCCTAAACAAAATAGATTAAATGCAAATCTGGTGGTGGAAAGAAGATTTTTCAAGATATAAAACTGGTTAGAAAACTGGTTAACAGTTTTATGAATAATCCAAGTCTCTCACTAAGGGAACGCTTAAAAAAATAAGAATTTTCTCATAGTTTGGTTGTAAAAATAATAGAAACAAAGTTTTATGACAAGTATATTTCTAAAAGTGCAAGAACCCGCTAAAGAAAGTTTTATGACAAGTATATTTCTAAAAGTGCAAGAACTCGTTGAAGAAAGTTTTATGACAAGTATATTTCTAAAAGTGAAAGAACTCATTGAAGAAAGTTATATGGGTTTCTCAAAATTTCTAAGTTATTCAAGATGATCATTAAACTTATACGAAGTACGATCATCAGCAAATTCATGGTGCTGTCTATTATAATGCACAAACATAAAAGAAAAACAGATGAGAAACTTAAATACAGAAAAATGATAAGTTTCTAAAAATGGTTTGATTTGGCAAGCTATTTGCAGGTATGACAAAAAACCAGCACCCTACATTTCTGATTCCATGCTTTCTGGTGAAATACAAAAATGTCTTTTACCTCTTATTAAATCATATAATAGTAGACATGTGTTCTCGCCTTATTTATCATAATGTCATAATAGCAAACTGGCTATGGGATGGTATAAACAAAATAACAATAACGTTATGTCTAAAATAGCAAATCCTCTAAACTGCCCAGAATTGAAAGTTATTGCAAATTATTGGGTAAGTAAAAAAGCTATGCAGAAATAATAAAAGTTTGAAAATGTCATTTATAAAGTATCAAATAGTTTTGATTGTTGTTCTGTATACAAGCTTATGGGTACCACCAAAACAAAAATTCGAAATTTTATTAGATGTCCACAGGAATAAATTAATTACTTTGAAATTCTTCGTCTTCTTTAATTATTATAATAAAATTATTTCTTAGTTCTAAATAAAAGTTGATGAGTACCTTTATTTAGTTATTTTTCTACTTTCACAATTCATCAAAGTTTTTCTATTTAGTTTCAATACATTTTTTATTCAAAGTACAGTTTGTAGTTTCAATACATTTTTTGTTCAAAGTACTTTAAACAAAGAATACTTAAGTAAAAATAAAGGGATCATTAGATCATAAATTGAAAATTGTCATTAATTATTAATTGTCATTAATTGTGGTAATTGGATTATATGCAGTAGTGGTGTAGTGGTAAAGCGCATTCTTCATAAGCAAGAAGTTCTGTGTTCAATCCCCACCATGTCCCTGGTAGTACTGCACCCAACTGGTTTCTCCGCATAGCAGCCTTGTTTGTAAAAGTTAGTGTTTTGGAGTTATAGAGTTGAGAGAGATTTGCAACTACAATTAATGTATTCTTCTCGACTGTACTGTAGTATAGGCCTTCTTGGCCTTAGGGAGGTAAATTAATATTATACAAAAAAAAATTATCAGTAAGCTCTCAGTAAACATTCCAATTTACCATCAAGTTACCAAATTTGTGTGTACCTTCTTCTGCTAGATCTTTTCGATAAATTGAATGTTCCTAATTTTTTCAAATAGTTTTTGTATTACCAATTAAACAGATTTTTGATATTTGTTTGTCTGAATAGTTTTTTGAATAGTCCCCACCTGTACTTTTTGTGTATTTAAAAAAATTTAGCATTATACATTATATAATGCTACAAATTTCTAAAATTGTTTAG